AACATAGTCGAACTAGCTGGTTACATATAAATTGTACTGTAAAAACTGAAATAGTCCGACTACTTAACATCCCTAGTTGACACCACTATCGATATCAAAAAAAGGATTTCCTCTGTGAACGCATCTTTTAACGCTAAGCAAAAAGATAAACTTATGATAAAAACAAATCACTCGATCTCTAATTTAAAAACTTAGTAACATTGACTCAGATATCAACTTCAAACAATTGAGGCTTAAGGAATGACAAGTGATTACCCACTGTGATCGACTTTTCCGATTTCTCTTAGACATTATCCCAATACAGTATATTTCTTCTCTTTATGTCGTAATAAACGTAATCTTCATCTGCAGAAGGCAAGGAAAAATTGTCGCTATTCATCTCTGAAAATAAATTGATAACGGGCGATAGATCACGGATTTTGAATAAACAAAATCATTGAATGAAAAAATCACTTGACTTATAGCTTAAATTGTTTAGAGTATCGATTTTCTATTTGTAATTTTAGACATACGTAATATAAGAACTCATTTCTCAAATGTTATAGTTTAATTTTTAAATTGATAAATAAATTTTTTACTGTACCTTATGACGAAAATATTACTGTTACTGTTGAATTGACTCCATGATCTTAGTGATAAGCTAGTGAACCTTGGATAATAGCCATTGTTATATCCCGCGGATAAGCCTCATATGAAAGCAACCGTGCTTTTCAAGAATACTTTATTATTGAAACTTTCATTGTGCTGAAAACTATTTAAATGAACCAGTTACAATATTGTCACACAGTTATTTTATCATTATGAGTACATCATTATTGGACATTACTTCTCATTGCTTCCCCAAAACAATAGTTACATTTAGGCAACGACATGATAAATTTTCATAATTGATTAGAAAGTCTTACAAGCTCTATTACTCATTTTAGAAACGCATCTTAAAAACAACCAGCGTTAAATCTTTGCCTGAACACGAAATGTCAGTGGATGCCAATTAACAAATTGGTACGTTTGGGACCAAGTTCAAAGTCTTTCGACCAAAAACTCGGACATGTAATCGGATACATAGCCTCTTTAAAACACCATTACTATTTTCTGACGAAGTAGACCGGTAAGCATAATCTAAAGTTATCAACAAAATGTGAGCACTTGTCAGAAATAAAAATACGCTTTAATAACGCTGGAATTCTATAGATCATGATTGAAAATTATACACTAATCAACAATTTTATTACATGTAGAAAAAAGTTCTGGATAGATAAAAAAAAAAAAACAAGACATCTGAACGATTTTTGATTTTATATTAATCGTCTAATTAATCGGTCAAGAAACTCTTTTAACCCAGTTAATGGTTTTGGTCGGATCCAATCTCTAGGTCAGCTCATGTTGCGAATTAAAAGTTACAAATCCTCACCTTAAAAAAATTACCGCAGTATTGAAACGATGATTTATTTCGAATAACAGAGCTAATAATAGCCCATGCTATATAATCTTCCTAATATGAATTATGTTTATGAACATGTGCGTATTCTTTCATGTACATAAACGGTAAAATATAATGGTTTTACTTTGTGTCATAATGAATAAAGAAAAGTATCATCCATTACGGGAAAGTTACCCTTACGATTACTGTTTTAAGGGTTTCACGAGTACGTAATGTTAGAATTTCCGGATCACGTATCACATGTTGGTTCAAATTTTCAGTTAAGAATAAATTTATACAAAAGCGATAGATACATTGATTTTCGAAATGGAAATGTGCTCCTTTCTAGAATATGAGTGAAGAATAAACTCTGAACACATGAACTCTGTTCAATTAAGATTTTTTAGGGAATAAAACTTTTGTTTTTTTTTCTCGAATGAATAAACATGGCATTACATTTTATTTTTTATTTTTATTTTTTTTATAAATAACGGGCAATTCATACCGATATCTTGTAAATTCATAAATCCCAGATAATTCCTTATAATAAAAATTAAATATTCGTTTTTTTTTAAAAAAAAATATATAATAAAAGTAACAAGAATAATGTTGGAAAACCCTTTTCTTCAACTTCTTTTCCTCATAAATTGCCTGATTCCTACTATATCGGCAAGATTAACACTTCCTGAAATGTTCAACTTTGAACTAAATGAATATATTCCTTATGTGATAGTCACAGCAATTCTTGTAACCTTTATAATTCCGATACAAAAATTTAGAATTATCAGGGGAATAATCTTTGGAGCCTTATCGGCATTTTTAGTTTTAATTTTTCCGACAATATTTTTTTACATGACGGAAGGTTTCAGTAAAAAAACAATAGTTTTTATGATTTTCACAATTGTTGAAAGCATAGGAATAGTATTCATAATATTTGTATGTTTAATTTATGGAGTCTCTTTTAAAAACTGTTGTAGATGGGAAAATAATGAGGAAAATAATGGTGTTATATTCAATGTGATAATAATTTGTGTAGTCTCTATATTAATTTTATCAATTATTGGAGCGACTATTTATTTCATTGTATTGTTTTTCGAGACTGGTTTCGATATTAGAATTCATCCACCATATATAGTTTCTTATGTGATAATAGGTGGCTGTTTAAAATGTTCTCAAGGTATAATAATATCAATAGTTTTAGCTGGGATAGACCATTATATAACGTTTTATTTTACTTTGGATGAAGTTAATCGAGTTTCACTATTATTGTTTTGGGTAGATTTATGGTTTATACTATTTGGTATTTATACTATGATTGAAAATTTTAATAATATAGATACTAGAGAAGTTAAGAACGAAATAGGAGTTAATAATGACGAGAATAGAGTTAAGAATAGTGTCGAGAACTAGTCATCATTTAATAATGCTATGAACAATTTATTTGTATAATAATTATATATGTATATTTAAGTCATCATTATATATATAAAATATATTTTCGAAAATTACCAGAAATTTGACAAAATATTTAGAAAAATTACTAAGACCTATATGGCAGCTGCGTTTGTCATCGGCACTACGTAGTGCTATGCAGGGTGCATAGTAAATTAATTGATGCGTTAATACGTATATAGTTTATAGTTTATTATCCGATAATTAATTGTCTAACTATTATTAGCCATTGATCAGATACTTAATGTGATAGTCGTACGCACGTTGTTGCAACCGTGGGAGAGACTTGGCTAACGTGAGGTCAAATTAGCTCAGAGTTGCAAACATAGGCTATGCTCAAACCACGATCTGTGGTCCCAAACCCAGATCTATACACAGCCACTTAATAACGAAACACATACATGGAAAAAAATATTTTTACAACAACGTACTGTACGCTGTATGTTTGTTTTAAATGAATAACAATTTCCAAAATTATTTATTGCATTAGCACATCTCATCTCGGTAAATTTCTTATAATGATTCCTCGTTCACCCCTTTCAATACCTATTTCACAATAACATGTTCTATCTCAACAGATTCTCAAAATGTTTTTTTCGACCATTCTAAACTTTCAATCGGTTTTTTAAATAAGTAAAAAAAAAATCTATATTTAAATCATATAAATGCAGAAATATAAAACTGTTAATGTTCCATCAAAATTAAGCATCATTATTTATACACTACTAGTTTTAATGCATTACGGATTTCTTTTCTCTTACGAATTTGTATTTTCTAAATAGCAAAGTTTTTGGGTATTTAATAATGAATGGCAAGAAATTTCTGTATTTGTGGCTAATTATGTAGTCGCAGTAATAAAAATTCATTCATTCGACCTGTGTAATTTTAGAAATTTTAAAGTAAATCTGCACAAATACAGTATAAAATTTTATTTTTATTTTATTTTTTTTTTAGGTGAAAATTCTTATAAAAGTCAATAATTTTGAAGCCAATTAAGAACAGTGTCATAAGAAAAAAAATATCTTCGTCAATATCATATATCCAAAGAAACAATGAGCAAAGACTTATTTTCGTATTTATTCTATTAGTTGCACTTTCTGTTACCAATGCTATTCCGTTCGAAAAAAGATCTCAATTTGATGATAAACAACCTCTTCTCGATGTAGTATTTTCTCCTGATCTACTCGTTCCTCACAAGGCCTTACCTTTAATGTTTCTAGAGTTCTAAATCAAAATATTATGAGTGGAGTAAGTGCAATTGAGTTTGTAGGATACAGTAAAAACGGGACACATGTCTATTATAATTACGATATAACTTCTATTGATCAAACTAAAGCTAGTGAATCATTTAATATAAGGTACAATGAACCGCCGATACCAACTAACATCACCAAATTATATGTAACTATTGGTGCTGTTGACCTTGATGATGAGGAATCTTTAGGCTGTACAAAAAAAACAATTTGATTTGTGAAAAATTTAGTCAACGTTAATTAACCAAAATTTAGTCAAATGTCAAACTGCAATTTTGATTAGTGTAAAAATTTAGTTAATTAAACATTAATTACATTTTTGGTTGCTGTTTTCATATACTGTAGAATCAATTATTAGAGGAATAAATATTAATGAATTCTATATTCAAGGTGCTTGTCTCCTATTTATTCTCGTTTCTCGAATTGTTTTACCTTTTATTTTTTTTTTTAGTGTCAGATTTTTCATTTGGTAAGATATTTGATTATCTAAATACATACTAGGGTATTGAGAAACCAATATCGATATCAGATATTGGTCCGCACTTAAATTACACCGGTATAGAGGTGTGAAATACCTCTATATTAAAATCCTTTCTGGTGTGATATATTATTAAGGTTAGCATTAGGAATTATAGCAGATTTTATAGTACGGTATGGTTTTTAAACTAAATATTTTTTGTTCATCCATATACTATACTGATCTTTTGTAATCTCGGTACGCACGTAGCAAAATTTATAGATTATAAGATTTTGATTAATTAAAAAATTTTAACCAATTATATTAAATAATCTGGCCAGCTTAAATCTGGTATCTGGTCTAAGTCTAAACGTGTTTTTGCGAAGTATAACATGTTTTCCGATCTTGATAATCTTCTCTTTCCCAAAATACGTTTTAAGATTTTTTTTTAATGATATACTGATATGTTTTAAGGATGTGCTAAAAGTCAATTAGCGTATTATACTTTCATGTGATTTCTAATTTATCTACGTTGACACTAGGGATGTTAAGTAGTCAGACTATTTTAGTTTTTACAGTACAATTTATATGTAACCAACATAGTCGAACTAGCTG